ATAAAATATAAAATTGTGTATATATAGAATATAAAATTGTATATCAAAATAATGCCCTTCAGGATGATAAGATTTGGTCTATGACTTGGCTTGGAATAGTCTCTGATAAAATTTGGTATACAACAGGCCAAAATAGTGAATCTTTCTTTTACAAGGAATAGTGAGATTTCATTGTTTACATAAGCATTGTGGCAATATGTTTTATCAAAAATCATGGGTACATTAAAGTCAACCAATACATTTTTTGGAATTTCAATCTTTTAAAACATTGAGCAAGATCCAACTGAATAAAAGAGGTTCTTAATTTCTAAATTGTCTTGAATTTAAACTGAGGTGGAATTACACAGGAGAAATGAGTAATTCAGTCTCTTTCCTCACAGAATGTAACACAGGAGCAAAAATATGTCTGTCAAGGAGTAGAAATTCCAACACCAACATGTTAAGGAAATGAAAAATCTGAAGGGTCTGGAATCTGGTCAAAATTAAACCAAGATCTGAAGTGCAGAAGAAAAACTATTCCCTTTAAAAATATGAGCTCCGGATGATCCATAGCTGCCAGAACTTGGTGGGGCATCAAGGATGAACAAAATCTTCGCCAAAATGGCTGAAAGTCCAACAACCCACCACCTCCCTGCAACAATTTATTCCAAAGAGAACACACAGAGGATCTGGCATAAAGAATGAAATCAAGTTGCGGAAAATAAAAACTCCAGTTGGGTCATGTGGTTGACTGGAGAAGCCATGATGATCTAAGATGGTGTATGTGATCCACATGGTGTGAAGCGATGGGGTAGGAAAAAATAAGATCCTGGAGAAAAGGAAAGAGACAAATGAAAAGAAAATAGGTATTAAATTGCATAAACTGCTGAAAAAACAGAGGTCTAGATATCTCACCTCAGAAAAAAATTACCTCTGAAAATGCATAATGTTGTGAAATTAACATTGGAAGAGGCCCATCTCTGTGAATGAATCCAGAAAAAAGTAGAATTATTTGAAAAAAGCATGGAAAGAAAGTGAGATGGCAGCCAAGAACTGGAGCATGAATGAAAAGCTTTTTTAATTAACCTGAGTAGGAAAAAATATGTTTTATTATGGATTAAGTAGAGGAGAATTGAAAATTCTTCTCAAAAAATATGAATAACTAAAGAGGAGGCTGAAGAATTTGAGGCAGCCCAAATAGCTTGAGATTATGAAGGAAAAGAAATGGCTCAGAGAAAAATAAAATGCAACTTCCAAGTAAAAGAATTGAGATATAAAAAAGGAATCCAGACCTACTTGAAGAGACTCATTGGTACATGAGGATGAAAAGGGGGAAAAAAGAGTTTTTTTCTACAGTTTGAACCAGAAAGAATGTAGAAAGAGAAAAAAAAATCCTTCATCTTTAAAAACTAACAAAAAGAAAAAATCAGATTGGATTATTTTGTCACAATTGTGGAATTATCTTCAGGTGATTTTTTAATCTATTGAGAAGTCTTTGAATTCTGTGCTTGCCTTTAGAGCATTACAATCCTGCTCACTTTTGTATCATTGCCAAATCAGATATACAATCACAAGTCCTTAGTAAATATTTTGAAAATGTTGGGTCTAACAGGGGCATCTACAGAGTATGGTAAGAAAAAAGTCAAGATGGTGGCTGCAACAACATGATAAAAGTTCCACCAGTGACACACATAAAATGCAGGTGGAACTTCAATTGTGCCATCATGGCTGCCATCTTGACTTTTTTGACCATACCTTCAGGACACCCCAGGAGTTAAAAACAAAATCTATTGCCTTTCTCCAGTTTTACTGGGAACAGTTGCTGAGCGCTCTTTCAGAAAATGACTTCAAGCCAGTGCATGACTCAAGTCCGGCCCCGCAAAGTCTTCCAAAGCCTGGTCTGTAATTTCTAATATGCCTGATGAATGAGATCATTCAATATATCACCAGAAAGTAATCATACCAAGTCTATTTAATACATTAATATTAATGGTATATATGAACATTTCAAATTCAGATTGTACCCTGACCCTTGTCATACCACAGAAAGGCAAAATTTAGCCCCACTGCTTGAAAAAGGCCTTTTCTACCTCTTTTTACAGGGCCTCTTGCCAGTGTGGCTCCTTTTATGAAAAGGCACTCTTTCTTTGAAGCTCTTCCCACACTTTATACATTCATACTGTTGCTCTCCAGTGTGGATTCTTTGATATAAAGTAAGAGGAAGCCTTTGACTGAAAAATATTATGTGTTTTCTGTATCCATATTGGTTATCCCTAGTCTCAATTTTACACCATCGACATAAGTCTGATTTATCTTTGAATCTTTTTCCACACAAGGCAGTTCCCCTTTGTGGTCCTGGTTGGTCACGATGACCTGGATTGTGGCACATTCAGAAGTACAGGATTTCTCTCTCACATTCTTGAAGAAGTTTTCCTAATTTGTTTTGTTATCCCCAAATGTCTCTTTCCTCAGTTCATCTGTGATTGTGATGTCAGTGCATTGGATTCATTTCAATTCTCCTTCTCTTCTGTATCTCGTACTTGGGACAAAAAGAAAGTAAGTCATGAGAAACTGAAGGCACAAACCTTCTACATTCCCTTTTTCAATTCACCATCACCAAGATCTTCTTCCCCCTTTCTTCTTAAGTTATCTTATTATCTCGCACAAAAGCATTATCTCTTTGCTGGGCTATTTCCAACATTTTATAAAAATAGATGAGTGTTTTCTTTCTCCTGTCCTACAAAAACAATGAGAGATAAAACAGAATCCTAACGGGATTAGGTCAAGGAAGGAAACATCACACCACGGAAAGGGACTGCGGATCTGTTGAATTTCTACCTACATATTTCCTGTATCGGAAGAAATGTTACTAAAGCTCTATCTTGTAGAGGTGTATCAGGGGATGCAGATCCTTTTAATGACAGAGTAAGATGCACCTCTTAAATGTCTGCCTGGACAAATCCCTCCTTGAGCTAACATCATGTGGAAGCAACTAGCAAACTGGGAGCAAGGGAGCAAACTCACTTATAAAAGCAGAGTAATATATAACATTACTGAACAAAACATTCATAAGCTGGCATGATATAGGCTTTCAGAAGCTTACAGTTTTGCGTCCCTTGGATTTTGAAGCAAAAGTGGAAATCCTAAGCAAACTTTCTCTTACTGACATGCAACAATATTGGGACCTTAAAATGAAAGAACCTTCAAAAAGCCACTTATATCAAATTAAACAGCATTAGTCTATTTTATACTGCTTTCCTTGCTTGCTGTGGCTGTTCCTATCTGGCCTTAGTTAGTATCAGGACTAAAGCAGGCAAAATTTGTAGAGAAAGTGACTTTTCTAATTCAACATAAGGAAGATATCATATGTATGGACTGAGCCAAGTCAGTGTGACATTTATATGGGTTTTTACCTGAGTGGATTCTTGAATGGGAGATTAGTTGACTCTTCCAATGGAAGTTCTTTCCGCATTCAATACATTCAAATGGCTTCTCCCCTGTGTGGATCCTTTTATGGGAAGTAAGAGATCCATTCCCACGGAAACTCTTTCCACACTCCATGCACTTGTATGGTTTTTCCCCTGTGTGAATTCTTTTATGAATAGTAAGACACCTATTTTCCCGGAAACTCTTTCCACACTCCACACACTTGTATGGTTTCTCCCCTGTGTGAATACTCTTATGGGAAGAAAGGTGACTGCTCCTCCGAAAATTACTTCCACACTCCATGCATTGATATGGTTTCTCCCCTGTGTGGGTCCTTTTATGAATAGTAAGAGATCTATTGTCACGGAAATTCTTTCCACAATCTATGCACTTGTATGGTTTTTCCCCTGTGTGAATTCTTTTATGAATAGTAAGACACTTATTTTCACGGAAATGCTTTCCACACTCAACACACTTGTATGGTTTCTCCCCTGTGTGGGTTCTTTTATGAATAGTAAGAGACTTATTTTCATGGAAACTTTTTCCACACTCCATGCATTGATACGGTTTCTTCCCCATGCGGATTCTTTTATGGCCTGTCAGAGAAGTGCCTCTGCTGAAGGGTTTTCCATATTCTAGGCCTCTGTATGGTTTCTCTCCCATCTTGATTCTTTCACATGAAGAAAGAGTTAAAGTGTAGGAGGGTTCATCCTCCTGATATAGATACTCCTCTCCTTTAATGTGAGTTCTGTAATCTTTACTGGAATCAAATTTGTCCTTGAATATGTTGACATTTTTCCTTCCTTTTCCTTTGTGATCTTGTTGGGCAAGAAAGCCTTGAACTTGAGCGCACTGAAAAATCAAGCTTTTCTTTCCCCCACTTTTTGATTGTTTTTTTCCAGGGCTCTTTTGTTCCATTTGAATCTTCTCTTTTCCCTCTTTCTGACTGATTGTTTGGCATGGTTCCCTGTCATTTTCATTGTGCTGCCCATTAACAGCTTGAGAAAAAGGAAAAAAAAGAATGAAAAATGTGTCAAGACTGGAGAAATTAATAAAAAACAAACTATAGGAAGCAACTGTGAATTTTTTGATATCTTCTTAAAGACTCTGGTAGTTTTAAAGGCTGTTCTGTTCACTAACATAAAAAAAATTCTAAGGCTTCTATGTGGGTTATGATCAAATCCATATGTCTAAAATATCATGGACTAGAAAGGAATGTTTTCTGTTTTCTGAGCAGGAGAAACCTGTTGCCTTTTTTTCTTTCTCTATATAGGTTCTTATCAAATCACTAGAGGAGTTAGGTAGTGAGAAATAACAAGAAGCAAGTTTGTAAATTTTATTCTAGCAGTGCCAATAAGGTGATTTGAATGGAAGGAAGATCTTAATATATCCAAATTCTATTCTATTCTTTCCTACTTATTCTAGGCTACCTCCCATTTGCTATTTCCACTCCTTTTGGGACAGCCATATGGTTGTTGGAAAAAGAATTACATTAGTTGATTTATTAGCTCAAAATCATATCTTTGCACAGAGAAACACTGTTGCATAATGCCAACATTTACAATTATAGAGGAAAAGTGACAAAGGAAAGGAAAGAGGGGCATGAATCCAACAGGTTGAGAAAGTACCAGTGGTTCATTAGACAAACAGATGCATCTGGCCCATGTCAAGGAGTGGTCAATGTGATTTAATGTCAGATTAATATCACTGGGATCTAAAGCCAGGATGATAATCTGTTATTGATGAGATTAAAAAGAAAGGAAAAAATTAATTAAGGAAAACCATCTGAAATATCAGACAAGAAATAGTTACATGATACATCTTAGGAAATACTACTAACATTTTCCCTTAACTGGAGCTGGAGGAGATCAGATTTTCTACTCCTCCCAGCTAAGAGAGAAGGTCTATGGCAATTGTTTAGTATGAAAGAGGTGGCTACATATGGCCACTAAATGCTCTCTCTAAGTATCTGAATGCAGAAGAGGAGCCCTTACTCAGAAAGGCCACGTTCCTTGAGATTTCCAGCATGACTTCTCCATGCAAGGCTTTCTGGTTAGGATCTAGCTGAGACCACTCCTCCTTGGAGAAATACACAGCCAGCTCCTCGAAGGACAGGAAATCCTGAAAAAAGAAGAATGGTTTCCTTATTGTCAGAGAAGGAATAAGGACTTGCATGTTTTCTTCCATACTTCACAAATCCCAGAAGAGGGCCTTCAACACACCAGCTATTTTTCTGGCGTTTGCAGAAGAAAGAGGTTTTTTGGGGGGGGGCGGTTCTGACATTTTAGCCAATAGTCTTATCTTTCATGAAAGTGCTGAGAGGGATTTGTGTGGGGACCATCAATATGCAGATGACACTCAGCCAATTTCCGCATGTCATCTGTATAAATAGAGGAAGTTCTGAAGTGTTTGGAAAAAATGAATTAATTTTCTGCATAGGAATCTCTCAGTGCAGAAACTTGAGATGTAGGCTAAGCTACCACCTCTACCATCTGAGGTGCAATCTGCCCCCATTCTCCTGGCCTTCTGGAAAAGTGTGGAAACACAGCTGTGCCAGATGGCCTGATGGGGGCTCACATTGTTGGAATTGGCTGTTGGGATAACCAATACTGCTCCTCCCATTATCCTGAATTGTATATAGTCTTTTATATAGAATTGTTATTATCTACTTTTTATATTTCCTTTGTTTTTACTGCTCTGGATTTTTATTGTGAGCTGCCCAGAGTCACCCTCTGGGGGACATAGGTAGCATATAAATTTAATTAATTAATTAAGACTGAGTATGCCTGATCGGTGACTTGAACCCAAATTTCCCCATTCTGAACTCCAATATTATACATCGAGCCCCAGAAGAACATAGGACGCCTCTGATGTTTCTCCTCTTACTTGAGCTGGAGTTTCAGCTGCTCTTTCTGGTCCACCCGAAAAAGGAGACAGTCCTACAAATACCAACGACAACGTGTGACTCCATGTGAGAGAGACAAAAGTGATGGAAGAATTTTTAGAAGCATAATTAATAAAACATGGAGAGACACTATAAACAAGTGGACCCAGAGAACTTCACACCTTCCTTCTTTTACCTCTTGAAGCGTCCTGACTTGGATCATCTTGAGAGATCCCTCGGAAAAGCTGCTGCTGAGAGGGGTTTGCTGGATTTCTGCCTGCCTCAGGATGTTCAGTCACTACCTCTGGGGCCTGAAGTACCAGAAGGAGCAGAGAAAGGGAATTATGGGAACAGAACATGAGAATAGTTGGATTCTCATTCTCTACTCATAACATCACAGATGCCTCTGTCCAGGAGAGGGTAATAGAACAATTACCCAGCTACAGTAGACATCAGCAATGGAACAAGCAACATATAAACACACCCTTCTATCATTAATTCCAGAAAATTGAAACATTGTTTATAACATTAAAGACTCATTTAGAATTCCCAGAATGAAGTTCTCTCACCCACAACTTGATCTGCTCCTTCTGCTCCTCTGCCTGGCTCAGGAGGAAGCCTTCGGCCAGGGCAACCGCCTGCGAGCTGGTCTCTGCCCCACATTCATGGACCCAGCTCGCCATCTCTGGTGGCAGAAGGGCCAGGAACTGCTCCAGGATCACCAAATCCAGCATTTCAGCTTTCGTGTGTCTTTCTGGCTGCAGCCACTCATGGCAGAGGTGGTGAAGATGGTTGCAAATCCCTCGGGGGGGCCTGGCCTCTTGGTAATGGACGCTCCTGAAGAGCCTGCGCTGGACCTCTGAACTGATGGTTTTCTCCTCCAGGGTCTTCTGCCCGGTTCCTGTCTGGGTTTCCATACATCTTTCTTTCCCAGGTCCCTTGCCTGCTGGGTATTGTGTGTCCATTTCTTCTCTCTTTTCCTACACAGCTCCAAATGGGGACAAGGGATCTTCTGGATATCGAAAGATCTTTTCATTCAGAAGACCTGAATTGCAAGAAGCCCTGGACAAGCTTCTGTCTTCAGCCCTCTTTGCTTATCAGATAATGTGGTTTCCAGACAAAGAGATATAAGATGCTTCCAACTTATACAGCTGAGATGGAAAAGAAAATAAATTCTGGAATTATTTATTCATTTATTTATTTAGTAGACTTATCCCTGCCCATCTCCCCACAATGGGGGACTCTGGGCAGTTTACATCAAATTAAAACAAATAAATACATAATTACAATTTATAAAAAGAAAAACACATTTACACAAATGGAATTATAGTGTAATTTAACCATGTAACACCCTGAAGGAAAAGTCAACATAAAGAAAGATTTTTCTGAGCTGGCAGATATTTGGGAAGAGACAGCAGGAACTGCACTAGGCAGATAGTTATTATTATGGTTGGTCGCACAGCCAGCCAGATGTTCAGACTGGATTTGGCATTTTTATCCACCTTTCAAGTCCTTCCCAAGGATCTGGGATAGGCGGATGTTGTTGTCTGATGTATTGACACCGGCTTGCTCCTAATACCTGAATCAGCCTTGTTGCAAGATTAATTGTTATCACACTCACGCTACAGTTTCTCACCAAGTGATGACTATTTTCATCCACATTTTACCAACCCTTTTCATCTGGATAATATAATTGAAGTATTCTTATCTACAGAACTAGATATTTTCCGGGAATTGTCATCCCTAGATATTGAATCGCTCCTGGACAAGACAGGAAACCTTGAATAAATGCACTCGTTTGAGAGCTTCATCTACTGGGCAGTTTAAAGGTTTTAATAAACCAATAAACAAACAAATTTGGGGGGTTTCCCCCTCCCAGTCAACACACCACACAGCTTGGCTTTTTAAGAGCCCAAACTACCTTCACGCTCTCCTACGCAGGGAGGGTTCACACAACCCGTGAACCCCAAACCAGATTCTCTGGGTCCCCATGAAATCAACCACATCACGCCTTGCTTCTCGGAGCCTCCGAAGACCCTGCAGTGCTCTCCCAAACTGGCTGAGCCACACATGACCCAACCAAAGTTCAGCTCAGTTTGGCAGTGTGGTTGTGTGAATGCAGCCACATTGCACCGCCTGTGCTGTAAACATTTATTGTTCCCTGCTGCAGATTTGCAAGGCAAAAACCTCCTTCTCCCCCCACTCAGATGCTTTAGCCAGGAAATGGGGGGGGGGGGTGAAGGGCTCCCCTAGATCCCCTCCGCCTTCCTAGGGATCCTGGACTTTTTCCTGGGGGCAACTTGGCTGGGCTGGCGCTTTCCCTTCCCCCCTGCCTGGCTCGTGCAGGCACAGGGGCGGCAGGGGAACATGGGGCCAGGAACTGCCCCCCAAGACTGAGAAGCCTGAACCTGGATGATGACGTTGCCTGTTTCCCTCCCCTCCCCCCCCAGGAGACCCCTTGGCTTCCCTTCCCCCGAGAAAAGCTCCCCACTCACTGAACAGAGTCCCGTCCGGACCTCCATCCCTGCAAGGCTCCTGCAACCTCTTTGCCTTCTGCAGAGCTCAAAGGGTTACGGCGACCGAGTGCGATATCCTAGAGTGGCCAGAGAACTCCAGAGGGCAACACAGCTTCTCCTAGCAAAAATATCGGCGCATGCTCAGTTCCCTTCTGAAGCAGCTTCCATGTGGTGGAGAGCGTTCTTTATGCCAGTGCTTCTCAACCTCAGCAACTTTAAGGAGTATGGACTTCAGCTCCCAGAATTCCCCAGCAGGCCTGCTGGTTGACAGGCAGCCTTCCAGCTTTAGAAGAGAACTGAGCATGTGCCTCCAATTTTGCTGCGGGTGGGTGGGTTGCACACTGGGATTTTTCCGAAGGAGCAAAAGAGCGCGTGACATCTCTGAGCACCTTGCCTCTCTAGGACTCTGCATTCCCTCTCCTTGACCCCTACATTTGAGTCCCCAGAAAGCAAAAAGGCTGAAGGAAGGTCCTGCAGAGATGGGAATCCAGTTGGGACTCTGTATAGTGAGCGGGGGGCTCTTCTGGTGGGAAGGGAAGCAAAAGTGGAGGGGGGAGAGAGAGGCCAAGCGCTCGTCCAGTGCTTCTGAGTCCTAGGAGTCCCTAGCCCCATGTTCCCCTGCTGCTCCTTTGCAGGCATATGGCAAGGAGAGGGCAGAGCAAAGTGCCAGACCAGCCAGGCTGCCAGGAGGATCTCCAGGAGCCGACAAGGGGAGCCATTCATCCCCCACCCCTATTTCCTGGGAAAGCCTCTGAGTGGGAGGAGAGGGCGAGGTGTGCGTTGCTGTAATGCTGTGTGAGAGACACCTCGAGAAACAGGGCGAAGAGATGTTGCCCAGGGGACAATCAGGTAAGAGGGGGTGCAGCCCACAGCTGCATAATGGGCGGAGAAGGAGGGTCAGAAGGGACCCTCCCTAACTTCTCAGGCTGTAAAGGAAACGGCAAGAGAGGTGTACTTTCAGACTTGCAAGATTCTGTTAATGTGGGCCTACGATAAAGTAAAAGTAGATAAAGTAAAAGTAGCTCGTCTGGCCTGTTTCTTGTCTGGTATACCTGGGAAGGCTGACAATTGCAAAACGTGAGCGGGGAAATAAACCAGTTTTGCAGGAATGGAGAGGCCAATGGGATTGTGGCTGTATTTGCCCAGCTTCTGGTTCATTGTGTCGTGGGAACCCAACCAGGGCATCACGTTAAGTCATAACCTGATTGGTTTGTTTCAGAACGGCATATTATGCAAACACAGACATCTGTTAACTAATCCGTGTTTGGGCATTTTGTGTGAATTCTGCCTTTCTGTGAGATTGTCACTGTGGATCTAGTCTCTTAAAAAGCAGACACTGGTGTTTTTTTTCCTGTGAGGAAAAAGAAATTTAAACCCTCCTAAATGTATTTTTTCAGTGTTCTGAGTCCATGATGGAAGTTGATCTTGACAGTCTCAACAGCACACAGATCCAGCTGTCTGCTTAATGCAAATGCCGCTTTACTCTTTCCTAACATGCCAGCTCAGAAAAATCTGACTTTTTCTTGTGGGCATTAAAGAGTTAAAACCTTCTTCTGCAGAGTCTCTGTAATTCCCTAACTTTGTTTTCTTTCCTACCTCAGATTTGTAAGCTGGAAACCTCTTGTGTCTCCTTCTCTGGAGTCCAAAGTCAAAAATAACTGAAGCAAGGAGGACTGAATGGCCTGGTGAAACTCATCCAGGGCCTCTTTGTGCACTTGAAAAGATCCAGGGAATTTTTTGACCCCACTGGAGCTGTGTTAGAGGGCAGAGAGAAAATGGAGGCTAAAAGACACATGAAAGCTGAAAGGTGATCCTGGAGCAGTTTCTGGCTGTCCTGCCCTTGTAGATGGAGAGCTGGGTCCAGGAGTGTGGACCGGAGACCAGCTCCCAGGCGGTGGCCCTGGCTGAAGGATTCCTCCTGAGCCAAGCAGAGGAGCAGAAGGAGCAGGAAGAGCTGCAGATGAGAGACCTTCATCTGGCAAACTCAAAATGGAATTTAAAATAATAAACAACAGTCTGTTTGAATTCTTCCTATCTGAGTTGGCTGAGGTGAATAATACAACATGTTTTAAGACAAGTTGTTCTAGTGCTATTCCAGAGGATATATTTGAAGCAATTCTTCCACTGTTCCCCTCCATTCATGTCTTTGGTACAGTAAATGGGTAGGAAAGTCCCCACTCCACAGTCCCTCATGGTTTGCTCACTCCCCAGGCCAGATCCCAAGCTACCAGTTCAGACATACAGGTAATCCTCCCTTAGCAACCACAATTGGGACTGGCAACTCAGTTGTTAAGCAAAGCGGTCACTAAGTGAAACCAACTCTGCTTATGATCTTACTTCAGGTTTCCTTTGCTTTACAGACCTGCAAAGGTTGTAAATACAAAGATTGATCGCAAAGTTACTTTTTCATCATCGTAACTGAACGGTTGCTGTATGAGGCAGTCACTAAAAAGGATTACCTGTACTAAATATACATTTTCTCTCGACTGAGCCACTGCTAGAAATGCGCACCCAGAATGATAATCCACAAATCTCCATAGAAGGAACAACCTCTTACTTTCTTTTTTCAAGTTCATTGTTCTCCAAACCCATAGGCATTTCTCCCGCTTTTCCCAGCCACCTCAGATATAGCAAGCATCTTGGAAGACTCTCGAGATTCAGGACGATCTTGACAAGCTGGAACGATGGGCAGTGACTGGCAAGAGGAATTTCAACAGAATTTCTACATTCAGACAGGAAAAATCAAAGGCGTGTGTTTCAGAGGTTGGGGGGGCATACTGGGGAGCAGGACCCGCAGAAAGTAACCAAAGGAAATCACAAACTGAGTGTCAGCCAAGAGCGTGACGTAGCTGCAGAAAAGGCCAATGCAATCCTCGGCTGCATCAACAGAAGTCAAGCTTTGAGATCAAGAGGCATCTTTCTTTGCCTCTGCTCCACGTCGTTCAGAGCACACCTTGAATATCGGCTCCAGTTCTGGACAGCAACTTTTAGGAACGTCAGTGTCCTTGACAACCTGGATCGTGCCCAGCGGAGAGCAGCCAAGATCTTCATTTACTCATCTGCAGGGCTGACAGGCTGCTCCCTTCTGACAACTCTGAGCAGCGCCTGATCCCCAATTCCTAGCAGTGCCTGATCCCCAATTCCAAGCCCTCCCAGCGGCCCCCCAACTGCCCATGGGGAAAAGAGCTGCTCCTTCTCCACCCGACGCACCCCACGCAGGCCCTCCCCGAAGGGGTCCGACTATTCCGGCAGAAGCACCAAGGCTGCAAAGGACGAGGAGGCAGATTTCGGCTGACCCTGAACACTCTCTGCGGCTGGGGGTCCCTCCACAGGGGCTGGAGTGGGGGGGGG